AGGCTAGGTCACTTGTGGTGACATTCCTGCCACTTCTGATTTACTGGCTATCAGCAGTGGTTTTCTTTCAAGTTTGCTCCCCAGTCCTTTCCGTGATTTTAAATTCTTCATTAATTTGACCGTTTGAAATCAGAGGTTTTATTTCCCTGGCAGGTTTGGTAGCAAAAAACAGAAGCTATTCTATAGCAGTCAAACGTAAGGGATTTACATGTGAAACAGGCTGATACAGCTGTTGGGAAGGGTGCGACAGCCGATGGTGTTATGTTCTTAAGAGCGCACTGCAAGTGGCTGCAAATTCTCAGCATCTCTCAGTATCTCAGCCATCAATACCCTGGGCCAGCTAACCAACCAACAGTGGGGCTGTATTTGCATCTAGAATGTTTCCCGAAGGTTCAAGTGCCCACGTGTTAAAGGCAGTCCCAGTTCATGGAGTCACTGGGAGGTAGTGGCAACTTTAAAGAGGAGGGGCTTGGAGGGAAGTCTTTAGGTTATTGGGTGTGTGCCTTTGAAGGGGAAGGCAGGACCCTGGCTCCCTCTTCCTCTATTTTGCTCCTTGGCTCATGTTGAGGTGAGCAGTTCTGCTCTGCCATGTGCTTCTGTAATAATATGTCACAGGTCCCAAGCACTGGAACCAACTGATCATGGACTGAAACTTCTGAGACCATGAGCCAACATAAATCTTTGTCAGGTGACTAGTTCAGTCATTTTATTACAGTGGCAAAAATCTGACTAATACAGCAGGTAAGGGCAGGGCTGACTCTGGAGAATAATGGCTTTTCTTTTGCCCTCTAAATCTCATGCAAGTACCTCTCTTTGGCAGACTCTAACCTAGATTGATGAAGAGGACTCTGGCAAATGTAATCATCTTGGCCCCTCCTCTGCAACAGAGAGACAGGAGAAGGGGGGTGACAGCGATGCACAGATGATACAAGTTACTCTAGTACAAATGTATCTCTCATATTTGTTTGCACAAAATAATCAGTATGATAAGATTCCCCTCACCCCCTAGTTTTCTATCCTTCTTGAATCACATTTTTTTTCTCCTCGTTATGAGCTACACACAACTTAAAGCAATCTGTCTTTTCTTCTAGCACACAGGTCTGTCATCTGTTATTATAAACTGAAAAGTGAATTCTTTGTAATATAAATCTGCCCACAGTCATAGCTTTTTCTCATTGTTTTTTTGCATTTTCTGAGAGCAATAACAGTCATCAAAATTTTTGCAGTTCCCCCTTTGTGGAGAATGACAATTTTAGTACATGCATAGACAAAATTAAACTCTTAGGAATGGAAAAATCCTTAGCAGCAACACAGTTGGATTTCCCTACCAGTGTTTGAATCTTTATGATCAGAATGGCAAAGAACAAGAAGTATATGTGCTCCTTGCTTTGTGCTCTTGCTGCCAGTGGCAGGGCTTGGTAACACACCTCAGTACTTTTCCCGTTAAACCTGAATTGAGCTTTAGAATACTCTTCTATCACTGTCCTCCAGCTAGCACGAAAAGGTAACAGCTGCATTCAAGATGGAACCTATTCACCTCCCTGCCAAGTGGCTATCAGTCTGTTACTTTCACACTCCAATGAGAGTGAACACATCACTTCCCCAAACTTGCTCATTCCATCTGTAGAAAGTTCTTTCTTATTGGGATGGAAATGTGTGCCCCTGTATGTGGCTTCCAATCACTGGTCCTAGTCCTGCTCCCTGAGAGCGCATATAACAAGACCAAATCTGTTTCTATAAATAATTCTTCCAGTACTTGGAGACAAGTCTTTTCTGCTTGAATCTTTTCTTCTCAAAGCTAATACCAATAGTTCAAGTTCCTGAAATCAGTCACTCCTTGTGTTCTTTTACAATTTTGGTAATCATCTGAAAGTTTCCCAACTGGCATTCACTAAGTTTTCTCTGACGAGTCTCCAACAGACAGCCTGTCTACACTAGCAGTATATGGCTGAGCCCCACAACACCTAGCAAATCACGTGCATCCATGCATGACACATTTGGCTGACCAACCTCTGAAAGTTTTCTAGATTGTCTTCAGGGTATCCTTGAGACCATACACTTTCATCAACGGCTTTTCCAGTGCTCAACCAGTCCTCTAACCCTCTGTCAGAACTTAGGTTGTTCTAGCCACCGAATGGAGGTTTTGTAACCAAGGCAGATGGCAGCTCTCTTCTAGGGCGCCCGAGTGCTCTCCCCTCCCCTCCAGACATTTCTTAGATGAATTCTGTTGGTACTTCCACTTTTAGCACCGTGGTCCTAGACAAGTAACAGTTTTCTAACTAGTTTGTTTCTCAACCCAGCAGCTAGAGTGATTCTATTAAATTTCTATTAGTGATTCATACAATTTGTCTTCTCAAATCTTACAAAGTTTCCCATTTCATTCCAGAAAAAAAAATCCCCAAAACAAATTACTAAAAGAGTCTAAAGGCCTCATTGTGTGATGTGTGCCCCTCCTTGGTCCCTGTCAGCTCTGTACACCCATTTCTCCTCTCGCTCAGCTCTCACTGTGCTGTCTCCTTGCCCTCTCCATCATGCCCAGCTTCCTCCTACTGCAGGAGCCCCTGAGTGGCTCTCTTACTGTGGTGTCAGCATATTTAATTCCCTCATCTTCATATATTTGTCAAATGTTGCCCAGACTATTCTCTCACCACACCCTCACTGATACGCCCACCCCTTAATCTGCTCACGTTTCCTTCTCGTCCACAGCACTCACTGTGCTCTAACACACCAGACTGTTACTTTTCATGCTTGCTTACTGTCCACCCCTTTCTGCTGGATGGTGAGCCGTGTAAAGGCATGACCTTGGTCACTTACATAGCCCAAGCACCTACAGCAATGGCTGTCACAGAGCAGATGCTTGAGGATTTATTCAGTGTTGATGGGACCCTTGGTAAGCTTAAAGCTAACACATCAAGTGACTTTATCTCACTGGGCTCTGCCTCAGACAAAAGTCCTCCAGCCAGCCGTCCCCTCCTATACTCTTGTCCTCTACTACTTTGTGCCTTATCTCCCCTGCCCAATCTCTTATTTCTTCCCTCTCCCCTACACTCCATGGTATTTTTTTCAAGCCTGTTTTACGCCCTCATCCTCATTCCTGCGCTCAATCCTTCACCTTTATCTCTTCTTTGATTGTAGGGCTCTACTCAGCTCTACTCCTGATCCCCTGAGCTTTTCATACTCTATATTCTTAAAAGTCTGGAAATAGGGTTGGTGATCTTTTTGCTTTCTTTGTTTCTTCCTATTTCTCTTTTACCCTTAAGTAAAATACAAGGCTGATAGCAGTCGCTTCTCTTCCTTGAAGCTGTCCCCCACTGACTTCTAGGTGGCTGCCCCATAACTTCTAGTTCTTCACCTACAATCATGCTTTCATCCACATCCGTACCATCTCAGTCCCTCATACTCATGGTCAATCCAGACCATGTCATTACCAAAATCTGCCTCACTTTTGAAATCAGTCTAAATACACTTCTCTCTAATCACAATCTTTCTTTAATTCCACTAAACAAATTCTTTAATCTTAGAAAATTTTCCTTCTCCCATCTCCTCTGCATTATCCTTCTCTGATGGCCTCCTGATATTTCACTTCTTTCTTGACTAAGCTTAGATGCCAAGATCCATCACTTCCTGGGAAGAGCCACTCTAATCTTCATGGATTTTGCTCTGGTTCATATGGCATAATGCAAACAAACTGAAGTAGTGCAAAACCCCAAAACCAACACACCAATGTCTTAGTTTATGAAAGAATGGGAATATATTTAGAAAATTGTCAGGAATAGAATAATGTGAAAGCTGAAGGATCCAGTGAACAGTTTTTATGCTATTAGTACATGTGGTGCCACTTATTGATCCACAGAAACATCTGCCATTTTTGCTCAGGACTGTGCAAGTCTCACTGCTGTTTATGTACAGGGGAGCTTCTGTAAGTGATTAAGATGACTAATGTGCTGTTATTTTACAAACTCTGTTATTATAATTGAAAATATTTTTATAACCTACAATAATATCTCTCAAGCTTTCATGAAGCAATGGTTCTAGTGATAGTACAGAAAAACACAGGCCCAAACAGCAACTATGGAACAGAAGTTGGTTGTGATAAAACACAATGAAGAAGGCCAAACATCCACTAGGTTGATAATTTGGGAGAAAGCACTCTACAAAAATTAGACCTAATGAAGGACAAACATAGTGAGAAGTATTAAAATAAAATTATGTGACAATATTATTCATTCATACATCTCCCAAAATAGCTCCTTTATATTTTTTCTTATGGGAAAGTTAGTCTTAATGAATGAATTGCAAATCATGAGATCACTTTAGGAATACATCTATCACACAAATGTAAATGTCTTTCCCAAATCCAGCATTTCTCATACCTTTTCCTTGAAATGCTTTCTTTCCCTTGCTATAATGCTGGCATACAGTAAATAGCACAGTAATTATGAGCACAGGCTCTGTAGCCAGACTTCCTGGATCTGAATCTCCCAGCTTAATAATTTTCTAGTTGTGTGTCTTTGACTAGGTTTCTTTGCCTCTTTCTACATCTGTTTCCTCATCTGAAAGACTCAGATGATAACACTGCCCACTTCAAAGGGCTGTTGTGAAGGCAGAATGAGCTGATGTAAGTGAATAATGTGAAGCTCTTGTGACACTGAGCAAACACTGAGGAAGGATTAGCTACTGTCATCATTGCTACCTTCCCATCAATACTTGATACTTTTAGACTAAATTTGCTTAATTGGGTTTAAAAAATAAGGTGCTTCTCTGTTAATGGTATATGAATTACAGGATATACAGGGATACTCACAGGATGTGCTGTGGTATCCTTCTTTTGCTGTTTTCTTTTGAAAAGCTGCAGAAACGGTCACCACAATTCTGAGTATCAGTGCAGAGAAGAGTGGGGAATACTTGGCCTTTCTAGCACATGTACTGGGTCAGTGGTACAATTCCAAGTAGAACTTGCTTAGACGATGATGTTACACCAAGTGACATGGCCATCTTACCTTTAGTCTGTCTTTGGGCAGTGCAACAACTCCTTGCTTAATGATCTCTAAGACCCTCTCCACAGAAAGCTCAGCTCCAGCTTGTAGCAACCTTGAGCTAAAGAAGGTGATTACCTGCAACACAAAGAAAAATTTTTTCCAACAAATAGTTTTAAGAAATGTATTTTCAGTAGATGTCTTTCCACATGGTAGTCGACACTGCGTTTATTTGATCCTGCCTTCCTATGTGCAGTCCTGTCTTTCTTAGGGCTTAATGACTACATCAGGACCAAATCTGAACACCAGGGTTGATTATTCATTCTGTGAATTGAGTAGCTTCCTAGATTCTACTCTTTCTTGTGCTGCCCTATGCTGTATTTGTATTTCATTTAGAGAGCAGTACCCAGGAGTTGGTGGGAAAAGAAAGCTCAGTCTAAAAACCTGTCACTTTTGAAGCTTAACAGGAAGTCTCAGAACAAGACTTAATAGGATAGGAATTTTAAGTTAATGGCTAAAATGATGTTTTGGGGATTATCTGTTAAATTTAATTTATCCATATCACCCTCATCCCTGATCATCAGAGGGAATCAACGGCAAGCTGTAATTACTCTTGTTTCATGTCACAGCACAACATCAACTATGTAGCAAGACCCTAACATAGTAGTATTCTCAGAATAACATCTAAATATTTGTCATTAAAAACTAAGAGAGGCTGGAGATGTAGCTCAGTGGTAGAATACTTGTCTAGCATGTGATAGGCCCTGCATTTAATCTCCAATACTGCCAAGAAATAAAACAGAGCAAACCAAAATAAACAAAAATGAAACAAAAAACTTAAAAGAATGCCATAACTTTTTAACAAACCATGTTTAAAACCACAACATTAACAAATCAAGAAGACTTATGTTGGACCTGGTGGCACATGCCTATAAACCCACCACTTGGGAGGCTGAGGCAGGAGGATCACAAGTTTGAGGTCAGCCTCAGCAAGTTAGTGAGACGCTGTCTGAAAATTTAAAGAAAAGCAGAGGTGGTGGTGGCTGGGAAGGTAGCTGAATGGTAAAGAACATTCTCAGTAACATCCCAACCCCCAACCAAAAGGCCACTTCTGACCCTTTTTATTCAGGAGAGTATTCAGGTGTTTATAGTCACATATGCAAAAATATAAAACTTTGTTTTTAAAACTGAACTTTCCCTTTTACATGTTTTCTATTTTATAGGTAAAATGCATTAAAAGTAATACTTGGCAAATGTTTTAATGTTTTCCTTTAAAGTGCTCTTCTAAATATTATTATAGCACACAGGACTATAACTTTTAACTATTCTGTGGAGAGAGTGCTATATTACATGAATGCCATTGAAATGCATTTGCTCTGCAAAGAAAAGACATCCAGGGGAGCAGCACCATCTCCAAGCCTAGGCCTCACAACTTAGGTAATCAGCAAATACAAAGGTGATGGCTGGCTACACCACTTTTCATTTTAGATAAATCACTGTTTTATCTCAAGCAATTTGTTGGTATCAGCTCCTTCACAAATTGCTGATTTTGTCCATAACAGTTTGGTTGTGCTTCTGTGCTTATGAGTCTTCTTTTTCCCAAATCAGATTTTAAATTTCTTTTGGTATTCTGAGATTAAAATTCTGTTTATGGAGTTTAGAGGTACACAAAATGATTTTTAATATAGTGAATAAATTTTCGAAGAAAGACACAAATAGGAAACACATCGCAATAATTCCGCTAAAATTCTATTTTAAGATATGCTACAAAGATGTGAAATAAATGCTTCCCTTTTGTGTAAATATCCTCACAGGTTTTATTTTTAAAATCTTAATCTTATTTCTTATTTACTTATTTTTTGAGATAGGGTCTTGCTGTGTTGTCCAGGTTGGCTTCAAACACTCTTGCTTCAGCCTCCCAAGTAGCTAGGATTATAGGTGCTTGTTACCATAATCAGCCTTATTTTAAATGCAAACAATTTTCTGAGAAAAACATTGGTTAACCATATAAAGTACCATTTTTGTTGGTTAAAAAAAAAGAGGCTACATATTGATAATTTCTTACGGTTTAAATAAATACCTGTGCACAAAATTCTCTTCTTTGATCAAAAAATAGTAGAGTAGGAACATATTTGTTAAAAACACATTCTAAAAAATGAAAAAATATCAGTGAAATAGTAGACATCTGTTTTAGGCTTACAAAATGATTTTCTTTCTAATATTTACTAAAAGCTGAGATTTTTCTATTGGATGATGTTTAGCTTATAACAATGGAGACAAGGGATAAGTTCCCGCCTGATCATCAAAGGTGGCTGGGAAGCTTGTGGAACACAGATCCCAGAGCCTAGCCAGAGGCTTTCTATGTCGTTCTCTCCAGGAGATTTTGACCATTAGCTAGAATCTAGATCAGAGGTCTTCAAACTTATGATTAAATATGTCTATAAGTTAAAAAAAATGAGGCACTTGCAATATATGTTCTAATTATTTATGAATTGTGTAATACAGTATAGCATTAATGTTTCACATATCATATAATATATATAAAAGGAATAAAGAGAATGAGATAAAGACAAAATAAACTAATTTTAAAGATACTTAACTAATGATTAAAAAAATATTTTTTTGTACTCATTAAAATATTTTAAAAGGGCTAGGGATGTGGCTCAAGCAGTAGCATGCTCGCCTGGCATGCGTGCGGCCCGGGTTCGATCCTCAGCACCACATACAAAGATGTTGTGTTCGCTGAAAACTAAAAAATAAATATTAAAAAATTCTCTCTTCTCTTCTCTTTTTTTAAAAAAAATATTTTAAAAATTAATTTGTGCCAGGTTCGACAGGAAGATTGCAAGTTTGAGACCAGTGTCAGGAACATAGGGAAATCCCGTCTCAAAAAAAAAAAAAAAAAAAGAGCTGGGGGTTTAGCTCATTGGTAGAGAGCCCCGTGGTTGTAGTCCCAGTTCCACAGAAAGAAAAATTATCTGGATAATTAGCTATCATATATTTCGCTAATCACAAAGGCTTCACATTATCATCAGCAAGCAAAGTATATACTCACAGTAAGACACACTGTTTATTATTGTGGATACAAACCCGTAATGGAAATAGTCTTCCTGATAATGTTTATGGATCCATTTCTTGTGAGTTTATGTTGGCCTGTCACTGCTTCCACCTTGAAACATGGTACCTGCTCTAGGAGGAGGTGGATGTCAGTTCTACCACTGTCTTCTGTTGCATATTGATATTATTACTGTGCTACCTTCAGTCTGGGGGGCAATTACCAGGAACGCAATACATAATGAACTGTAGAGGAGTGACAAGGTGAGAGCCCATGTGCCAGGTTGCGTGCTGACTCTCTCCTTTCTCTTCCCTCAGGGCACCTGGAGCTCTGGAGTTGATCCCTGGTGTGTTGTCTGTGCCAATACCATCAGTAAAACGAAATCTCTTTATTTTTAAATGAACAAATAAAGCGTTGGCATATTCTTGCCCTGATTCTCTGGTGCATCCATTTACTCAGGAGATTGATGATCAAGATAACAAAATGCCCGTAATCAGAGCTGAGGGGAACACATGGCATCATACCCTGGCAGACATTATGAGCAAACAAAAGAGTGAGAACTCACATGTCACATCACCAAATAACAAAGTGATGAGATGACAGTCCTGTTTTGTTCCCTCTGTGGCCTACAATGAGTTGCCTCTAAGCCCCAAGCAGTTTACACCCCACCAGGAGACTTGCAGAGGGGGCATGAAGCTTAGGTTCTAAGAAGACTTCTTCTTCCAAACTCTCATTTGTACATTTTAAAGCTGACATTCTAATGTTTTTGCATTCAAATTGACACTATTTTAGCAAATGATAAAATTACCACTTTCCAAAGGGAAGTATAATTTATACATCAAGAAGGAAGAAAACAAACCTGCACTGAATGTTTACTATGGACCATGGGCTCTACCTACACTATTTATTTCATTCTTACAGAAATGTTATGAGGCTGATAAAAAAAAAAAAAAACAAACATCCCTGTCCTATTGAGGAGTAAACAGGATCAGTGACAGACAGAGGGGCCAGAGTCCCGCCCGTGTCAGGAGCAGAACAGCACTCAGGTCTGGTATACAGCAATTTTTATGTAGTGAAATGGAGCACAGGCTTAATTAGGATTTTTCATTGAACTATATATCAGGCTCCCCACCCCCACCCCCGCCGCCATTGTATTTTGAGACAGGGTCTTGCTAAATTGTCTAGGCTGGCCTAGAATTTGCAGTCCTTCTGCCTCAGTCTCCTGAGTAGCTGGAATTACAGGTGTATGTACCAGGCTTAGTAGTTGTTATTTATTTATTTTTAAAACAGGAAACATTTGAGCTAAAAGATGTAGGTGCTTAGCCAAAAAATTCAGATAGAACTAGAGTGAAATGTGAAAAAAATGAATGTGAAAAAATTCACCCAAGGATATGAACTTGTATTTCCTATGCCCAGTTTAGAATTTTACATGCATAGTAACTTTAGTAATGATGACTACAACAGATAATGTGGGTTTTTATAAACTTACATAGCAACTGTTAAGACTGTTCAAATGGATAAACTTTTTTCCTCTGAAAATGTCTGCACAAATATATAGCAACAGAAAAAAAAAATAAAACCTTCAGCTAAAATGGGAATGAGTGCTTTGTTAGTGTAACTCAAAGGAAGGTACTTTTCTATGGTGCGTGCTTCATGACTTTCTCCACCTGCCCTACTTGTCTGCAACTCATGAAATCCAAGTATAGCAAGTTACCTCCCACTATGCTATTAGCCCGGATTCCTGACTGCCCAATGCCATGTTCTGATTAATCAATGTACTCTTGAAGTAATGACAAAATCACAGTTGACTGCCTGTCTCGAAACCAGTGAATGATCATTCCAGCAAAGATTTATGGAAATGAACTTTTCTGAGGTAGGTGTATGTACTAGTCAGGCAAATATTCTTCCTTGGCCATTCTCCCAAGAGTCAAAAGTAGAGTGATCACTTGTTTTTTTTTTTTTTTTTTTTAACAGATAGAATGTCTTTATTTTGTTTATATGGTGCTGAAGATTGAACCCAGTTCCTTTTGTATGCTAGGCAAGTGTGTTCTGCCGCTGAGCTACAGCCCCAGCCCCTTTTTTT